CTCCCCCCCCCCCCCATTATACAGTCATGAACATTTTCCTTTTCAGTCTTGTAACATAGTTGTTTTCTATTGAAGATTTCAAAAGGGCTTTTGGATAAATATGGCCCGGAGAGAGTTATTGATACACCCATTACTGAGGTACTCATCATTCTGCTATTTATTACGTGGTGTGAATATTTTTTCTAAGATAACTTGATAATATATTTTATAATATTCTATCTGTTTGTGTAGGCTGGATTCACTGGGATTGGAGTTGGTGCAGCTTATTATGGTCTGAAGCCTATTGTAGAGTTCATGACATTTAACTTTTCAATGCAGGTTTGTCATATATTCTTGAAATACAAGAATAATTAATATACATTGTCTGCGTGATGGCTCTCATTTGCAGATTCATTGTTTTGTATTATGCTGGGATTTGATCCTTTTTTTGCTGTCAATTTATAAAATTCAACTTGTTTGTATTGATAGTTTGGAAGAAGACTCAAGTTAATGGTTGACAAAAATTATTTGGAATGTGATCTAAATTCTTCAAAGTACTTGTGCGAATAAAAGCAAGATGATACACCCTCCCATAGTTTTGTTCATATTTTCCTATATAATGTATCCCAAAATTTTGTTCCACATTCCTTTTGAAATTATTTCTCTCCTGTAAACAAATTCCAACCACACAGTTTTTACTTTACTTAAAAGCGAGCAAAGTCAAAACATGAACATAACTATGGGACGGAGGGAGTAATATTTTCAAAATTACTACATTGTCTCTTCTCCTCAGTGATGAATTACAAAGATGATGAGTCTGACTACATCATCTCTTTACTTGCTCTTATATTTTAGCTTCTTTTCTCCGGTAGGTGGTGGCTATTAGCGACCTACTGTACTTTCATCTTCCAAGTTCTACAAGCTCTTAATTTCATCAAATTGAAACAAAGCTACAATTCACCCTTATTTGAACAAAGTGAAATATAATAACGAGAACATTAGTCCCAAATCATTGGCGTGGGCTACAAACCAGGATATGATGTCTTATTTTCTTTGGCATCCAATTAGACATTAGTGCCTTTTTTAAAACTAAATAGGCTTATTGAGTGCTAGCGTGTGTGACATTGCTTGATGTCATTTTCAAGCATCTTAGTTGGGTTTGAAAATGTGCATTTAACATATCATATATAGTATTTGTATAAAAGTTATTGTGAGGATACCATTTGTATAGTGTAAGGCCGGTACCTATCTTAATGTCCTGTTTATGGATTGGTAACAGGCAATCGATCATATTATTAATTCTGCTGCAAAATCAAACTACATGTCTGCTGGTCAAATATCTGTGCCTATTGTTTTTAGAGGCCCTAATGGAGCTGCAGCTGGTGTTGGTGCCCAACATTCTCAGGTATGGTTTGATTCTTTTTAAAACCTTTTTAAAAAAAACCAAAATTCAAAAACAATATTTTAGAAACTGACAATTGACTCCTATTTTCTTGTTGATACCTCATTTTTTAATTTTCTAATGCACGTGACAACAACAAGGGTTTAGGGTTTAAAGTGCTTTTTATTGTGTTGAAGTTCCTCATGCCTTTGCTTTTGGAAGCTGTGCCTTGTGTAAGAAATAGATAACTGTGAATAATGCAAATTCCATTCAAACTCAAAATGATAGTTTCTACAGTTTGGAGTTTGGACCATTGAACTCCTTCCCAATCTTGTACATTTTAATGTTTATTGCTAGTGCAACTCAAGTTAATTCTTTAACTTATTGACTAGAAGTTTAGAAACTTGATTTTAATTGGCTGATTAGATTTTGGGTGAACTGTAAAGAGGTGGACGATTGGGTTTATGACCAATCATTAGTTAGTGACATTCCTAGTGCATTTGAGGGAGTGTGGCACTGATTTACATACTGAAGTCAGAGATAGAAGGAACTTGAGGTCATAAGTAACTTACATGTTGCAAGTTCCAACATTTTTTTAAACTACATCAAAAAGTTCAATATCTGAATTTGTTCTGGATCTGGAGGGGTGGGTGTAAACTTTGCATTTTCCGGTTTAACGATGGATGAACAACCAACAGTAACTTTTATTACTCATCATAGATCATTTGTATCTGGTTAAATCTGCTATTTTTTGTGTGCTTCCATCGATAATAATTCCTGCAATTTCGGTTCTCCAATTTGAGAATGAAAATTAGTAACTACAGAGATGGTAGAAAATGGAGAATATTTCTCCATGATTAGTCTCTTAGTTTTTATTTGTTAATGAAATTCAGAAATTGGTTCCGTCTGATATATTTCTAAGTTTAGATTTTAAGTTTGTGTTGAACAAGTATTTGATGTTATGAGCGTGGCAGACTAGTCTTGGCTCCTGGCAGTGCCCGCATGATGAGCCTTGTCTTGTTTTGACATAAAGTCAAAATTAATTTAATTGAAACTACCTGATTGTGAATAATAAGTAGAGTATATTTATACCTGTCCAAATTAATTACTACTTTGTCCTTATTAATACAATAATAAAAGTATATAGACACTAGTGCATTAACTAAATAGATAATCATCTAATAATATTAAAAGTGACTAATTAAGCTTTCTGATAAGTTTGGACTCCTTGTGGTTAGTTGTAGTATAGAAATATAGTTTCCCTAATTTTAGGAGTATTATGGTGTTGCAATGTCCTATTCTCACTAGGTTTAGGGTTTAGGTTCCTTATTCTGATTGGGTTTAGGCCACCATTTCTCTATATAAGCATTGTAGTAGAGTTCAGAAATTATGAAGTTATTAGTCATCTCAATAAAGGTAAGAGTTTATTACTCCATACTTGTTATTACAAAAAGCAGTTCATTATTCAACAAGGTTTTCCAGCACATATCAGATGTATACATAGATTTTCAGTAATTGTGATAAAAGAGAAGGCCAGTTCTTTTTTCTTTTAAAAATGTTTTCCCCCTTATTGTTGCAACTCCTATAATCACCTTACTTTTTTAAAAGCATCAGTTGCATATTTTCCCTTTGAGGGAGCTTAATCCCTCAACATTTTACAGCATGTTTATCACTGTTTGGGATCTTTTGCAGTGTTATGCAGCATGGTATGCTTCAGTTCCAGGGCTTAAGGTGCTAACTCCATACTCTTCAGAAGATGCCCGTGGCCTCCTTAAAGCCGCTATTAGGGATCCCGACCCTGTCGTTTTTCTTGAAAATGAATTGCTGTATGTAACAGATCATAAAAATGAATTTCATCATGCTAGTATACTACAAAGTACTTTATTATCATCATGTATTTTTTGGGGGGTTCTTTTCATCTATCTTTATCTAATATTGATGATATAATTTGTGCTCCAGATATGGTGAGTCCTTCCCCGTTTCAGATGAAGTTCTTGATTCAAGTTTCTGCCTTCCAATTGGGAAAGCTAAAGTAAGCTACTCCGTGGAAGGCCGAATCAAACTTTATTTTTTTTAAATATTCAGTATTGGTTCCTTATGTTAGCATTAATATATTGGCAGATTGAACGTGAAGGTAAAGATGTGACAATCACCGCTTTCTCAAAAATGGTTGGCTATGCTTTAAAGGTGTGTGATTCTCTCATCATGAAAGGTTTGAAGTCATTTATGATGGAATTTCTACTCCTAATTGCGTGAGGCCTGCAATATATTATGTGTCTTGAGTTTTGTCCTTGGGTGGGCACTTAGTTTGATTGTGGGCTGACCGCTGATGAAGTTCCTGCTTCCCATTTTAAAAACCAATTTGAAGCAAATAATGGTGCCTTGTGTTAGATGTCTCACAAATCTTCTACCTGATTTTTCAGCTAATTGAGTTAGTTTGCAGCTTTACATTAAACTTTTATGCCACCAATCCCCGGTCACATAGTTGGAGTTAAGGTGTTCTTGATGATGATTTTACTACAATTCCATGTGTGTTTTAACTCAATTTAACTTTCCAGGCTGCTGAGATTCTTGCCAAGGAAGGAATCAGTGCTGAGGTTATAAACCTGCGTTCAATCAGACCTCTTGATAGATCCACCATCAACTCTTCTGTTAGGAAAACCAACCGACTTGTCACTGTTGAAGAAGGGTTCCCCCAACACGGCGTCGGCGCTGAGATCTGGTTACAACATTTTTTATAATAATAATCTCTGTTCATATTTACACCTTCCCACGTCCCATCATACCCAAAAAAAATGGCCAGAAAAACAGAAAAAGAAAGCACCCTAAATAGAAATAAAACATAGAAAATATACCAAAATAGGAACTCCATGTTTTAAACCCAAAAAAGGAGCTTGCAGTGTGATAATGTGGCACTGCACATGAACATTTCATAATATTTTTTGTTATTATATATTGGCATGATTGGCATTGTATATGCATTTTAACTCCTATTTTGGTATATTTTTTTATGTTTTACTCCTACTTTAGTCTTTTTCCCAAACAGAAAATTGAAGTCTTTCTTCAAAAGCATCATATGCTTTCCTGTTTTTTTTTTCTTTTCATCATTCCTGACTGGAAAGTTCTTTTATCCAATGCCAGTGCAACGGTTGTGGAGGAAAGCTTTGGATACCTTGATGCACCTGTTGAAAGGATAGCAGGAGCTGATGTTCCCATGCCATATGCAGCAAACCTTGAAAGGTTGGCTGTTCCACAGGTTTTTTCTCTGCCATTTTCTTCCTTTCCTTATTTCCCGGATCTTAAATGAGTTTAAGCAAGATTGCTTGATGTCATAATAATTACGTGCAAGGACCGTGCTACAGACCCACCACCCCTGCCTCCATCGATGACAATACAGATGATTATATAACTATATACAGACGATAATCATTTGTGAACAACACAGACAATTATTGTATGTGTAGGTATGAATTCATTTGTAATGTCATCCATGGGGGCATGGGTGGTGGGTTCCCTGCATTATCCTTGCGTGTAATGCTATGTGTCAGGAAACATATACACGCACAGTGCCCGTTTGGCAACAGCTTCCGTGTTTTGAAAATGCTATCTCACATCAGTGCTTGATTTTAGCGTTTTCAATGTTAATATGCAATTGGAAAACATTTCAAAAACACTTAATGCTAATTGAAAACCTTGTTCCCAAACGAGTTTTCAGATTCATAATTCTTTTCTCTATTTTTCTCATTCATTGACAGGTTGAGGACATAGTTCGTGCGGCGAAGAGGGCGTGCTATCGATCCGCTCCCGTGGCTGCCGCTGCGTAGAAATTCAAATGCAGTTTTTTGTTAAAAAAAAAACTCTTTATTCCATTTTGTAGTCTGGATATATATTCTTTTGTCCACTTCGGTGTCGTCGAAGGGTTTGGCTGTTTCCTTGAAACTTCACCATGGATATGCAGATTTCCTGCCCATGGAAATCCAGTCTCAGAACATTTCTTTTTTAAAATATTGAATAAAGATTTGGGCAAATTTGCCCCTAGTTGATTATTGTTTACATTGGAGATATATCAAAAAGAAGAACTGTTATGAGATGAACTGCTTGTGTCCTTTGAAAGGCTTGAAACTGCCCCCCTCCACAGCTTCTATTTTACCAGGCTAATTTGGTGAGTTTTGGAGGATTAATAATATGATATGGGTTTTAAAATTAAAGAAGATATAATATGGATTTTGAAATTTAAAATAAATGTTTGAGAAATTTGAAACGATAATTGTTAGTGGCAAGTAGGAGTGGTTGGTGGTCGAGGGAGATTTAAAAGCATCTATAATGATATCTTTCAAATTTGATAGATATCACATTTGAGAGATTACTCTTTGAAAGGGTTGAGATATTGAAAAACATCAAATCTAAATCACGTTTTACAAGTTTAAACTAATTATACAGTCGTATCTTTTGATATTAGGACTTATGTTCCATGTGCTTGTGAAAGTACACCTTTCATTATTACTATTTATATCTTCATCAATTTTAGGGTACTAGTAATATTTTATCAAATGAAAAATTAAAATAAATAAAGAGGTTAAATTTTGGGTTAAAGAGAGTACAAATTATGTACTTCCGGCTAGACATAGAAATTAGAAAAATTATACTCATGCAACATCATGAACTTGGCAAAGTTTGACTCGGTAACAAATCAAATTTAAATGTAAGTTGTATGGTTAAAATTTTATGAAAAACAAAAACTATATACGGAGTACTTCACTCGTCTATCATAGAAAAGATCTTCCTATTACCTTATTTAACATTTAAAATATACAATTAGCACCACCTAATTTATTACACTTCACCCACCTCATCTAATATATTCCACCCAATTTCTAAAAAAATATTTCACTCGTACTAAACTTCTATCTTTTTTCAGCCTTTCTTTAAAACAACAAAAAGTCAATTTGGGAAATTCTATGACGGACAGATGGAGTATATGCACTATAATTTCTTTTCTTAAAAGGAAAATAAAAAAGAAAGAAAAAAATGATAACAACATGAGTTGGTCTTACCAAAAAGGTCAAATAAATTAGACCAAGAAAATGCTCAAAGACATTTTGTGTTTGTTTTTTGGGTAAAACACTATAAATGAATTGTCATTTTCTATAAGCACAAGGCCTGTGAAAAATTTTCAGAAAAGCCCTCATATTTTCAGTGCTTCTTCTTTCCACCTCCAGCACTTGATTTTGATGGGGATGCAATAGCATTAGCAAAGAATGCCACAATAAGCACAACAGAAATATGAGATCCATATTTTGCCATTAAACTCTGCAAATTGAAACCAGAAAAAACAGATTTTACGGATCAAAACGAAGAAAACGTTTGCTTTAAAAATTATCTTCCCGTTGTGTGTTACGATAATACGATGTTTGGCTGAAGCTATTTTCAAATTATTTTATATGAAAAATAGTGTGAAATTAAAAAATAAAAATTACATATTTAAAAACTACATCAAAAGATCTACAAAACTAGAGGTGACATAAGTATATTATTTTACCAAATGGGCAATGAAAATAAGCCAACAAAAATGAAAAAAGTTTGACCGTGTGAATAGTAAATGGGAAGATAATTTTTGGATGGAAGGAGTAATAAACAGACATTACCTTAGCCTGAAGGCGGCAACATCCCCACCCATTGCGATCAAGACAAGAACAAAAATGTGAAGAGTCAGACCGGGAAGATAATGTCAAAGAAATTCAAACCGTGACACTATGATCTTTCATTTGCAAGATAAAGGGAAAAGAATTTACCAATCCTAGTTTGTCTTGAACTACTTTCTCAGACAAGATTTCCAATGGCAAGATTGGAGTGGAGTAAGCCTCCTACATCCAAGAATAAATATGTATTTCAGAACATAAGAGATTCAAGGGTTGCATTGATAACTTCTACAGACTCAAAACTCTAGGGGTCACAGATTGAAAAGAAAGGGAATGTACACAAGATGGCTTGAGAAAGAAATAAGAAAGATATAGATAGTGACATAATTAAAATGTCATAGCAGTATCACACAACACCAACAAAGACACATCTGTTTATGATCAATAATGTGAAATGGGCCTGTTCGATTCGACCTTAAAGGGTTCAATCCAGTTCAAATAGCAATTAAAACTATAATACTCCGCATTCAACTTTCAATTCAATCCAACGCTTTAAGTCCAGTCTGGGGAGGGTAGGCTGTACACGGAGTCACAGACCTTACATCTACCCCGAGGGATAGAGACATTATATTTGATAGACACTTGGCTCAAAATAGAACAAAAGAGTAAAATGAAAGTTATTTGACAAGAATACAGGGAAGCAGCATAATGACATATACTAAAAATCAAGCATCACAATTAAACACATACAAATAATTATCTATGCAAAAGATAAAACCCCCCAGACAATAGCACCAACTACCAGTCTACCATTCTATCCTAATCCTTCACCACCACAACTTTCTATCTAAGGTCATATATTAGGTCATATCATCCTCAATGAGCCCGAGTCTAGCCCGGTCTTGTCTAATTACCTCCCCAAGGCCCAAACCTTAGGTCCACATAATTCTCAAATCTCCTATCGGGCACATTCACACCTCTCCTCTCCACATGTCGGAATCATCACAGCCTCACTTCAGTCGTCTAGTGCATCACGGAGGCCACTCCGACCTTGTCTCATACGGAGTATATCTTTATTAGTAATCATGTCTCACCTTGTATGGATGCACATTCGACTGACGTAGAATGTGGAGTTGTATTAATAATATGGCCAGGGAAAACGCCTAATATCAAGGAGTGTGTGTAATCAACATCCCAATGCAAGAGCAATAAGTCATTCAATGAAATTAAACTCCACATGATTGCAAAACAGTGAAGCAGTGGAATAGATCGATTCCACAAAATCAAATCCCATGGCTGACAAATTCGATAAAAAATAATGCGACATTAATGTAGGCAAACCTGCAGCTTAGACTTGGTTGCAACACGATAAGTGATGAGAGCAGGTGAACTGTAATAAGTCGTTTTTACTCCACATTCCAACTCAAAAGAGTGGGAAACAACAGAAGCACTGGAAGTTGTAAATGGCAAAAAATACATCATTGTTCAGAAACAACAAATATAAGCAAACAGCAAAATGAGCAATTATAGAGCCTAACTGAAAGTAGGTTGCTAGTGATAAGGTCACACTTACACTTCAAGCTTTTTCCATGACATAGATGCGTTGCCAGAGACAGAATAAAATAGTTCTGGATCCCAACTATTGTCAGTGAGAGTTACATCATAAGCAGTTCTGCACGAATTAATAGAATGAATAACACCTCATTAATATGCAACGACGACTAGTGATTAGTATTTCCCATAAGCTTGAATGTACAACCAGTTAATTTCTTAGTATGCAGAACGGTTAAAAATCAGAGTGTCATGTCTGCCTTCACCCAGGACAATGAATTTCTCTAAACACAGTAAAATCTTAATCTGAGATGATCATGGGCAGAAATTGATATTAAATAATAACAGATAAAAAGCACATGCAGCAGGCTAATCCATTTGAATGATCAGATGAAAAGTATTACAATCTAATGTGAGAACCAAACGCCTCATAAACTGTCTTGATCGGGCATACTTAATTAAAACATGTACACTCTGTTGATGGCAGATCAAATTTTTTTTGGCTTAATCATCAATCATCAGCGTCAAGATTAATTCTATATGCTCTGCTAAACATGGGAAGAAAATGACATAATTTAACTTGTGCAAAATTCAAGGCAATTTTACAACTTTCCACACAGCCATTTCCGATTTTCATTCACACACAAAAAATCCTGAATGGTAAGGGCATTGGATTGAACATGAAAATGTACATCGGATATCGATTCGAACAGGAAAACTGTAAACGTAAATGAGCGTTTAGGCACGAGAAATGTCAGGTCCTCACTCAGATCCATGGTTATAGACGTCGATGGTCACGGAGACTCGTTCGGTGCCAGAACTGAGCTTCGTGAGAGAGACTTTCTTGTGCGCCAGGATGAACGGAGCTTCTGAGAGAGCCGCCGACACGGCGGAGAAAACAAAGAGCGCCGCCAATGCGGACGCTGCGAACACTGCCGGCGCGTTGATGATCGGCTTTGCCATTGCAGTTCCACGAGGGAGATACAGAACCGGTCAAAGGCGTACGGACACCGGATTGGATTTTGACTAGGGTTTAAATATTCCGGGAACGTCGTCGCTAGTGGGCCGGGCCTGCAATTTAACCCAATCCGATCTCGGCCCGTTCCAGTTTAAATACTCGAGTGAAATTTGGTTATGTTTGGTGAGTTTACAAGATATGAATTTGGATAAAGCTACTTGTACCCCATATTTTGTACCCCACTTTGTACCCCGCAAGTTTGCACCAGCACTTTGTGTTGGTGTAAAACTAATTTTTGTTAATGCACAAACACTTTGTGTCTGTGTAAATTTTTGTTAACGCACCAACACTTGTGTCGGTTTAAAGCATCAAAATGTTTGTGTATACCTATGGTGTACAAATGGTGTACAATTTGTGGTGTAAGTGTAGCATGACCCTATGAATTTCCATATATTTAATTTTAGATATCAATTTTTTTTTTGGATTGTTTGGTATACAGAATTGTTGGTATTAAAATTGAATTGAAATTGAAATTTTATGAAAGAATTGAATTCATCGATTCCAATTCATTTTTTCACTACCAATTTCAAATTCACACACTTTTTGTGTTAACAAATACCAAAATTGGAATTATAGTGCTCAATTTTAATTCCAAAGTTTGAATTTACAAAACGGAGCCTTTGAATGCTTGGTGAAGCCAAAAAATATCAAAATCAATTTCTCCAGATATCATAAATCCTTCAAATGAAGAATTTTGATACCTATCAAATTTAAGAGATATAAGAATAAGGATTTGATATCTCTCTATAACATTATTTATATTCCATCACCGACTATCATTTTTACCGCCAACCACCTCTGTTGCCGGTCACCCTTCTTTGTTTATTATCAATTAAATCATGATTTTAAATCTTTTCAAACAATTTCATTTCTAATTTCAAAACTCATATCATTTCTCTCAGATTTCATAATTCATACTCCAGATAGACCCTCATTGTTTATTTATATTAACACTTAGATCATATCAAATTTAATCAGATTAGAAATAATTTTAGATATAACTAAAATTAGATTAAATGATATTAGATCAGAAATATAATTAAATATAATTATAATCAAATCAGATCAAAATGAATCAACTCTAATCCAATCTTATCAAATCAGACCGGATTTTCAAAAAACCGAATTAATTATAATCAGATCAGGCATACGAAACGTAGCCTAAATGGGCCGTGCCCTAAATTTGTCACATTAGTGGGCTCATTCATATTACTCCCTCTTTCCCAATTTAAATTACCCGGAGTACATATTTACTGTTTACATATCAAACTTTATTCACTTTTTTCTTGATTTCATTACTAATTTGATAAAATAATATAATTATATCACTTCTTGTTTCAAAGCTTTTGATTTAGAGCTTGTTCTTTAGGGCTTGAACTCTTAACTTCTAATTTCTTCCAATTCTTCCAGTTTCTCCAGTTCCTTAATAGTAGTAGTAATAGTAATAGTAATAGTAGTAGTAGTAATAATAATAATAATAATAATAATAATAATAATAATAATAATAATAATAATAATAATAATAATAATAATAATAATAATAATAATAGTGTTGAAGACTCATCGTACGGTCTAAAACAAATTAATAATTTATAAATATCCTTAGCTAACCCCCGAGATATAATCAAATAAAAACTATAACTAGGGCAAGAGTCGATCCCACGAAGAAAGTTTGTATTTTTTCAAACCAATTTATAATGCAAATATATTGTCACAAAAAATATAAACTAACTACTACACTTACGATAAAACTAATAAAACTTGTAAACAAATCTTATAATCAAATTAATATAAAAACTAATAAATATAAATTATATAAACAAAGAATTTATAATATAACTTAAAACACAAAACACATACTAAACATATACTAAAGAATAAAGTATAAAGAACTTATATTTATAACTTATAAACAAACACTTATAATATAACTTAGTAAATAAAAACACAAAGGTAATCAACTTCTCCAACAAAGGTAACCCAAGAAACACCACCGTGAACCCGAAACAAAATAAAAAAGAGAAGAAATACAAGCCGAACATTACACGTAAAATAAGCACGTAGACAATAATATATTACATAACTTACGCACTTAAAAATATAAAAAAAATAATCAAAGGTCGAGTCGATTCATTTCTTTAACCAGGATATGGAGGAATGTTAACTCTTCATACGGCCCGGAGATGCAATTCAAAGGCCCATTTTGAAATATACTTTTGAATCCCAACTCTCTATTCAAGCATGAAAACATACTTCCATTATACAAAAAGTTTATAAAAGAGAGAATACATTATGCATTCAACTCTCATACATAATCTATTCACAAACCGCCAATAAATTATGTATTTTAATAAGCTTTTTCTCCTAATGATGAGCACATTTCACAAATTTCCACGACCTTCTCAAACCAATGAAATTTTTTCTATTAAAATAGAGAAACACAACATATTTTTAATAAATCAAGAATTGTTTATTGCACTTAAACAATCTCAATTTATAAAAATAACAAACAAAATTATGAAAGATAACAAAATCGCTCCATAACGAATTCTAAAGAAAATGAATCATCTAATGGGCTAAGAAGTCTAAAATCCTTAAAATCAACGAACACAAGCACAACAAAGAAACACGTATGAATTCAGAAATCATCTAATTATAATATGGAGCTAGAATAGCTTCAACAGAAACCGAACTCCACATACCAACCTACTCATGAAATCGAATTAACAATTCAACCAATTCAACTTGTGCAGTAATTGAAGAAAAATAGTATGAAACAATTTTCATTCATAAGAGATTTAATATAAACATTCAAAAAAGAACATATACCCAAAAACATGTTGAGATATTTTTTATTAAATAATTGAAACAAAAAAAAAGAAGAAAAGAAAAAATTACATGTAGCTGGGTGGAAACAACCAAGAAGTGAGATGCATTGATGAAGAGCCTTTAAGAGTTTTGTTGTCGTCCTCTTGGAGTTGTCAGCTAGAATATTTCCCATTATTATGTTTTTTGCCTATTTAAAAGCCATGGCACAACACGGTTGAGTAGGAAGAATAAATAAGGAGGGTTAAGAAAGAGGTGCTACACAAGATATCACCAAAATCGTGTGAATGAGTGTATGGAGTAACTATTACTCTGTATTTAGCTACTCGAAAAATATATCTGGGTGTAGGGTGTGAAAAGTCTGTTTATAAGTGTCTTGTATTTAGCATTTGTAAATAAAGAGAGTTTTTTAAGTATCGTTCTGAAATATTGAAGATATAATTTTTCTCTCATATTTTCTTCTTGTGTAGTGTGTTTATTTATTTTTCACGTTCTTGATATTTTAAGAGTCTTACACGCTTAAAATCCCAACAATTGGTATCGGAGTCAAGTTACATTTGGGGCAGAGAGATTTCTACGCGGTAAGAGAAGAAAATCAAAGAACTTGAAAAATGGAATCAGTAAAAAGTTTGAATGTTTCTATTGAACCTTTCTATGGACATGGCGATTTTACTCTGTGGCAACGAGTAAAAGGTGTTCTTACTCAGGAAGGGACAATCAAGGCTCTGAAGGTGAAGGTTCAGAGGACAGAAAAAATGAGGGATGCTGAGTGGGCCAAACACCAAAAGAACGACAAACAGAAAAATTTTTTGGAAGAAGAGTGGGAGGATTTGAAGGTCATGGCATCAAGGACAATATGCCTATGCCTTGCAAAATCAACTTGTGTGGTGTAATTGAAGGGGGTGGGGTGTGTTCGGGTCGAGGCCGGGTGGGGGGTTTACCGGGGGTGTTAGGAGGGATAGAAACCGTCAATTTTACGAACGGGACATCGGAGCACCCTCAGGTCATCCCATGACATTGCCTTCCAATGTCACTTGAACCTTGGAGTCACATTAATGAAAAAATTAATAAGTGATAATGAAAACATTGCATTTTATATAATATAGAGTACTTGCAAACCAATTACTTGCATAGTACTCCCTCAGTACCAATTTAATGTCACTTGTTAGACTTCATATGAAATGTAAGAAATATGAAATTGTGTGGTTGGAAGTGATAAAAGAAAAAAAGACACCACAAAAAATCTCCAAAAAAGGAAAGAAAAAATTTGTTTAAGGCTGTCCAAAATGAAAATAAAGAAGATTAATTTGAGACTGAGAAGATTTGGTAGGAATTCGCAAGGGGCAAACTTGTTAAAATGAGGTCCAAATATTCCCACAAATAAAAAGTGAGCAAATGCAAACCACAAAAAGAAAACACTACAAATACACCAAATGATAATCAACAGGAGAAAAGTATTACAATTGGTATTTTCACATGAACATATGCCACTCCATATTGATCAGATTAGTGCTTCATATATCTCATTTCAGGTAACTATCTTAGAGCCTATTGATCTCTCTTCTTTAGAAAACAATAAAAAATCCCTCCTTAACCATTGATCTTAGAGCCATAAACACGGAAAACGCTCAAATTAAAGCAAAACTGTTTGGGCTCTCATATTTGATTAAATGTTCTCTAAAACCCCACACACCTTCTGCAGAGGAAAGGCAAGAAATGGTGAGTGTATAAATATTCAGACATACCATATGTGACAAGAACTTCTGAGCTTCCCATTCACCGACCACTTTAAGAAACCGGAACGTGTCCTCGGAATCAGATTCAAAACAGGACCGGTCACCTTGACCAGACTGCACAGAGCTGACCGTGCCCGGGGTTATGCTCCAAGGGGTAAAAGACTGTTCCTTTTACGTAGTTCTGGTGGTCTATCGCGGATTGCCTCAGCCTTGACATTTCTCTAACCTTTCCCTTTGCTTGCTTTGTGATGATCGAGCATTTCGCCAATGGATCCATTGATCCAGCACCAACCCTCCTAATTGTGTGCAAAAAAACAGATTACTCCTTATGTCCAAAAAGAAATTCAGGTTATAAAAAAATATTTGTCCCAAATATATTAATTATGCTCCGTCGGGCGAAGCAATGTCCTAAAATCTTCCAATATGTTGTGAGATTTTTTAAAAGTTAGATAGTGCTGGTGTCCCTAAATTATCTTCCTTCTCTTCTTTTTTCTTCAGTCCCTAAATTATTACTCATTTCCTTTACATTATGTTTGCTTTGGGAAAACGGTTAGGAAAAGAAAATGTTAAAGGAAAAAAAACAAAATCCTAAATTCTCCCTGTTCCTCTCAAAAAAAGAGGGGGAGAAGTTTGCCGTTTTCCCTCATTTTCTTCACAAAAATGGAAGTTAAAATAACTTTTCCATTTTACATTTTCTTAACCTTCTCTTTTTCTCCCAATTTTTTTTTATTTTCCGCTCTAACCAAAAACCAAAATTGCTTCTTTTTTATATTTATTTTCTTGTCCTTTCCGAATTCTTTGAATCAAACAGTATGTTAAGAGGAAAGCAATAATTCATTCCTATAATTTCTCTCCATTCTAAATAAATCTCAACCACACAGATGTTGTTTTCTTAAGTCTTGCATCCAGTCAAAACTGAACAATAATTTAGTGAGAATGATATATTTAACTTTACCAAAACCCTACCAAATGTGATACATTTAATTTAGGGACAATGATAATTTTACCCTTCTACCCTACCAATGATGCTTTGATCAAATGAAACTTGTTATTTTGTCAGAGTAATTATTAAATTGGTTATGAATTTAGATATTCGGAGTTATGGCTGTATTCAATCATGATTTACACCAAACACTAAAACTGTGTTTGGTTCGTGGATTTTGGTAGGGAAAGGAAAAGAAAATAGGATGAATACCTTTTTTCTTTGTTTGGTTAGAGAGGAAAAGAAAAGTGGAAGAAAAAGAAAATGAGAATGAAAAATGTACTAAGAAGAGGGAAAACTAAATTTCTCCCATTTTGGCGAGGAAAATGAGAGAAAAGTATTTTCTTTTCTTTTCCTTCCAAATTCCTTGAACCAAACATAGTGTAAGACTTGAACAAGAATGCTGATAAGTATTGGCAGATAGAAGAAAGGAAGCAGTATCAACTACCTTAATAATTTCTCTGATGCAACTCTGGCAGCAGTAATCAAGCGGCGGCTTGGTAACCAGTCCACTACACGATTTGGATCGGCTCGCATTGGTGAATGTATTTTAATAAGCTTAATTTACAAAGGTAGAAAATGTCAACAATCGGAAACATACATGTAGCTCACAAACAGGCTACAGTGATAAAATGTCCCCTGCTTAGCTTACTGAAAATGGAATCCAAAGGAAATGTTTGACTTATTAGTTGGAAGAAAATATTTCATTGATAGATGCAGAAATTTATACAGAACACATCATAATATCATATAATTGTCTAAAATTATCTAAGTTTGAATTTTGAACTTTTCAGGATTGTGGAAACTGGAAAGTATATGAAGTAGTAGCATCTATAAATTATGTTAAATGCCAATTGAAATGTCTGAAATTAGACTGTCACATACTTTCTGATGAAAAAGTTTCTAGATGTAATACGTGAGCACTTTCACCCCAACCTTCTTCACAACATCCCTCATTAGGTTTTTGTTAAAAAAGCAGTGCAATCACAAAATAGTTATGGAACATTTCTGAAGACCATTAGTCGATATATTATTGAAAATAAAATCATCTTCCAAGCTAGAGCTTTGCTCAAAGAATCTGAATATAGCTAGACTCCGGAGTCATATTAAATAGACCCCCCCTCCCTCCCCCCACCACCACAACCATGGTGCCACCAAAAACAATTTACTCTTCTTTTTATGATTTACTGGTCTGATGCTAGTTAAGGAGTTCAGGCTAATGAGTAGCAGGATCTTTCTTTCAAAGGTTTTTGCTTTCAACAACCTGATTTAAAAATACATAGACCTTACCCCTACTCAAAAGGAGAGAGGATGTTTCCATAAGACCCCTAGCTTGACTAACACAAGCAGCAACGTGAGCACGGAAAGCATAGAGGGAAAAAGTAGCAAAGAGCAAACTAAGGCTAACGAAGAAAAAAACAAGCAAAGAAAGCACAGATAGACAAGTGCAGAAATAGCCACCAAGCCCAAAAGCCTATCTCACTACCCTTGTCCTAGCTCTCCAGACACTCCTATCTATGTCCTCGGTAAGGGCCATAAGTCTTAGGTCAACATTAATGTTACAAGTTGTGGAGAAGTCTACTTGAATTTGAGAAATCACAAAACAGTTATAAATAAATCTTAGGGGGGTGTATTCAATATAGAGTTTGTAGGATTTTTTTGTATTCTAAAAGTTTATGGGTATTCAATTAAGATTTTAAAAAATCTTTCAAAATCTTGGTGTATTCAATTAAAATTTTAAAATATCTTTCTAAATCTAATGGTATTGAAAATTTAATGGATTTTCTAAGATTTTTATAAATGATGGATTGTGAAGGATTTTAGGGCATGTAGTATAAATAAAAATCATTCATACTAATCTCTCTACGAACCTACAGATTTTGAGAAATCTGAGCCATGAAGAATAGAAAAACCTGCTTCGGCATAAGGAGCTTGACTCCAGGAGATGAACTGGTACATCTCTCACTTGTTTCAAAATTCAAATCCCTAATCCCCTTTATGCGATTCTTTGATCTAGTTTTTCACACACATGCAGAGGCCTATTTATGAATTCTTTTCCTGTTTAATGAGTTTTATTCTAATTGAACTATTTTTCTCTAAATGATTTGCAGTAAGGCGATGTCATCATATCTAAAATGAAGAGATGGATATTGGGAAAAGTTGCTTCAGAAAAGCAAGAAGTTGAATAGATCGATATTCAGAAAAAAAAAGAAGGAGATGAACCGACAGATAGTGAGAAGTTAAGAACGGGAGATGCCGGCCAAATGAATAGTGTCACGATCCATTTTACTCCTGATAAGATTCAATGGACATGAACTTTAAGCCATGTAGTCATGTAGAAATCTATGGAATGTATGAAGTCTATGGAATGTATTAAGTCGGTGCAAATCAATAGAAAAATTTGATAAACTCTACATGGAGTCTATAGATTTTTTAAATTCACAAACTTTTTAAAGTCTAAAAAAATCCAATACAATCTCAATTGAATACACCCCCCTTAGAATGTCATCTTTTCTTGTTTGGGTGGCACTTGGAATATATCTTTCAACAAAATGGGATTTCAAAGTGGACTACAAAGTTGATGACGGTGAATTGCTTAGAAGTTACAAGGGTAAATATATTCGTACTTTCCCTCCTTTTTCTCTTTGAAGGGTGAATCGGAATTAATTGGTGGTTCTTTAGTCTATTGTCTTTTGCAGCTTCTTTTACCCAGAGAACTATTTGCAGCATATATAACCTCTCTCACTCCATACCCTTTTCCCATATTTTCTTTGGAAAGCATCCCCCCCATCTTCTCAATTGTTCTGCATCCCAAGTTCAAACTTCAATTCTTAAAACTAATAATGGATTCTTAAAACTAAGTTCTTGCATATGCAACTACCTCAAATTTCATATGTTCATAACAAATTAATAACAAAAAGTGCATCGATATTAAAGACTAGTCAGGAGAATAGTGAAAAATCAACACAACCAAAAGATCAAGTTGGAAATTACCCCTAAGCATTCCATCATTTGATAGTAAGCTCTTCCCTGCAGTGGGGTATGACCCTGTCGTGACTCTGAAAAATATCTCGTCCTGAGACGACAAAAAAAGACTCCTTAAGTCCAACATAGGAGTATATATTTCCTTAATGTTGTTGGACAATTAGTTTAAACATTAGAATTAAAAAAACAAAAGACACTGGGGGCTTCTGTAACCTTCATTTACCATTCTTTATAGCCAGGATCAACAGTAAAACCATATATATCCACTGATTCACACATGGAAAGAGCAAATTCAAGGGCCTTTAATCCCGTTCCTTTTGCTGCTGAACCAAAGGATGCACCCAACATGAGGTATACAGGGTTGAGAATCGGAACTTCCTACACAATAACAAAAAGGAATCAATTTATAATCGTGCCAAATCCTGTTCATAATTATTTTTTTCAAGATCAACTGCAAGACAGCATTTGGGCTATGTTTTGCGTGCTGAACTGAAACCCTAGTTTAAAAAGAAAACTATTAAGTAAACAAACGTAAGATATATTGATATAGGTCAATTGTTTGGTAAAATTAATGGTTGAATATAGAGAAAGACAAATGGAAAAAAAATTCTAAAGAAGGATAAACTTTTCTGTAAAATCTAAAACAAAACATTATTCACAAAGACAAGTAAAAAGCTTTTATTATTAGAGACTAGAAGATACTGCTTAGTAAGTTTTAACCATTATTTTATAGCTCAATTAAAGATTAAAATTAGTTAGCACCTTCGGCCTAAAGAATCATGTTTCCAATAGAGGTGTCAGAAATATTAAAATGACATTTTTTCAGACGGATGCGGTACAAGTTATGCAATAGCCTCTACCAAACAGAGATTTAAGTAGAAAAGGGTTTGGTTTAGTAAGGCACATAATTTAGACGAAGGGGTGCATCCTGACACGGCATCCATCCTATTTTACAACATTCCTCCTATCCACCACTGTTTGCTATCTGTCCAACTAACTGGAATAGAACGCAAAATCAAAGCAGCAAAACAATGTTACATACTCGAATCATTTGGTTCATGATATCATGTATTGTTGTTTTAATAATCAAGGTCTCCTTACCAGCATCTGCATAATTAAGAAAAATCGTTATCATACACATAGTAAGGCGCCGAGATCTAAAAACAAGGGAACGAGGGAAATACCGTACAACTCAGCTACTTTATCAATAGCTTTAGCAGAACCTCTATTGAGAAGTCGGAATGTACTTTTTGAGCCTACATATTCAGTGTAGTTCTGTAGAAATGGGAAAACGTAGTTTCAAAACGCACACAGACAAGTACCTAATGACCAAAACTCAAATGACAAGCAGAAATGAATAAGGTCATCTAACCTGAATTGGAGCCCCATTCTCCCTGAATACAGCATCATAACTATCTATTTCCTTTCCAAACTTTGTTTTGAGAAGGTCACCTGAGTTACCAATTACAGCACATCGGTCATACTGCCTTGGAAAGAAGGGTGGTTTGTCAGGGAGTACTAGAGACAGTTTCTCCATGCATAGGGTTTTATTCTTGCAACGGTTCCTGCATTAAACAAGTAGTGTGTCTGCAAGCTGAAAATACATTTATGATGACAAAAAATAGCAGCTTTAAAACATCTGGGGGTGTTTGATGAACAACTCGTGTTTGACCTTGTTAAGTGAACGATTGTTCATGTTCATTAGTTAGCTAAATGGACACAAACAATCCTTGGTTTATAGTATGAATATCAAACAAACAAAGCCTGAACAGCTATATGTTTATTTGATAAAACTTGTGAATAGATCATTTAGTGTTCTTCAAACCTGTCCACGAGCAAGCTGGGTTAAAGCTTGTAAAAGTTGATTATAAACAAGGTTAACCTTTAATCATTTACATGATTGCACCATATTTGATCTGTTACTAATTAATGTGTACGGCCCAGGAACAATATAAATTTATATATTTAAAATTAAATAGAGATAACCATGAACACATTTGATAAGAGACCATGTAGAATTTATACATTTAGTTGTGAGTTGTCATTTGTGATATGTAACTCTATTCTTTCAATTATGTGAAGATGTGTTCTTTTTATGTTTGATTCTTGTCAAGGGCATTTCATTTGTTCGCTAATGTAAAATGATCTTGTTCGTGAACAATAAATGAACGAACACGGACAATAACAAAATGATCTTGTTTGTGAAACATGGAAAATGATTCTTTAGTCGGGGCATTTCATTTGTTCGCTAATCAAAATTTATGTTTGATTCGGCTTGCCTCAATTAATACTCTTTTGTTTAGTAAAGGAATGATCTCAAACAACAACAACAATAACAACAACAAACGACCAAGTAGAATCCCATGAATTGGGGTTTGGGGGCCGGGGTGAGTATACACAGACCTTACTCTTACCTAGAAAAGGTAAAAAGAGTTGTTTGCGAAAGGCCCCGACTAAATGAACCGTATCAAACAGTTAAAATCCTTATCAAACAGTTAAACAACGATATCTAACAGTTGAAATCCTTAACAAAAAAAACCCCAAACATAACTTAAACTCAGCTTGAACCTGTTTGGTTATAGCCCTGAAACATCGGGTCAATTGACAATACGTGTACCTTTCAATACCATGAGAGACAAAAAGGATTTAGTTTGAAGAAATCACCGATGCTTACAACTGTATGCCCTTGTTAATCCTTCTCCAGGCATAATCCTCCCATCCATTTGGAAGATTATCAATATACTCTCTCGTCAGTACTGTAGTACTATTTCTTACCTGGTCGAGCCATTTCACTATGAACTAAGTTGATTGTATTGAACCCATAATTTGGAAGTAATAAATAGGCCGTTCATAAGGGTCATTTTCTTTAATTTTCTTTGAAACAATATTAAGATGTAAACATGTGGGAGTATACTTTTACTATTGGTTCATAAGAAAAAGAGCCAGAATTATATTCCACTAGGCATCAATTATGAAGAAAACTTATCATGAAAATGACCTTATGCATTAGATTTCAATTGTCAGGAAAACAAATAAAGAAAAAACATACCAACCTGTTCCCATGTAGCCACAGCTTCACATAAGTTAAGCGGATATGTCAGTCCCTCAAGTTCTCCTGTTTTTGGATCTTTCTATTGAATGTGGAAAAATAAAAATGACACTAATAGGAGACTAGTAGAATGCTTTAGTTTTTGTGCAATAATAATGTACGAAGAACAATATTGAAAAGCTTGAATTCAAGAAAACTTACCCACATTGGGACAGTTTCTTTAGGAAACCTTAGTGTGATCTCACAAAAATTACTTCCCATTACAGCTTGTAAACCTAATCCATTTACACTCTGCAGTTTGTTTAACATTGAGCAGAAAAATTAAAAGACAGATTGAAAAGGATAATATAAAGGCTAATAAATCCATCTAAAATGATGTTTTCTCAATAAATAATGTCAATATCATGCATGCAATGCAACTGATGCACGAAAAGAGCACAAAGAGAGCCACAAAATAATCAATAAAGTTGCCTCATATGATAAGATTCCCAATTGCATAATCAAGTCACCTTATGGGTGTATTCCTCAAGAAAAGCAAAACTACAGCCAGAAAGCAGGTGGGGAACAAGATCAAGATAAATTTTATACTCCATATGAAACATCTTAATGATTACTTTCAAACAAGTCTACAATAATCTAACAAAGCTTCTAGATATATTTTCTTGCCTTCATGACTATGGCAATTATTACTCTATCTTGCAATGGTGCGTACATCGTTAGGCGCCCATCAGACTCTAGGCAAACACCTAGCACCTATGTGCCTAGCCACCTCTACGGCTACATTAGGTCCTTACAAAAACATATTTTATAAAAACTATTAAAAGAAAGGTCTCGTCAAAATAAAGAGAGAGAGAGAGAGAGTGTGTGTGTATGTGTGTTTGTGTGTGTGTGTGTGTATAACAATTCTCTCTCTCCCGACTATGTGGAAGTTCTTAATTTATTGCACATATTAACATTTACTCCTCTAATCCCATAAAAGAGTCTGATTTCATAAAGGTGCAACTTTTAAATATTAGTAAGGTACAACTGTTATGAAGCACATTTGTGGAGGCTTCAAACAAAATGCAGAATTAGCAAATTTGTGGAGACTGATACTACATGTACTCTATGTGATGATGATACTGAGGATACTAACCATTTGCAGGTGCCCTTATGCAGTTTCTGTACTTAAGGAAATCTCTGAATGGATTGGCTCATTGGCCTTGACTTATCTGCTGATTCACTAAGGGATGTGCAAGTGAAGCTGCTGTGTATTAAACCTAGGAAATGGAGGATGGCAACTGTTGCAGTATAGGTAGCCTATTGCCATGCAATCTGGAGATGCAGGAATGAGAAGGCTGAAGGCTCATAATGGTAAATTGCTGAATGTGAGGGACTGCACTAGTTGGATGTAAGGCTCACCTGGTGTAGTTTTCATTTTCTCTTGCTGTTAATGTGCCTGCTATAAGGGCTGCCTGTTGGGCCTAGTACCCTTTGATGAACTATTTGAGTTAATATATGTGCACTTTGTTATAAAAAAAACTATTATAAAGCATAAATATTAGCTTGTTTTGACTAATACGATTGTTTTTGGGGGACAAAATATGTCCAACAACTAGACTCTTTTATGGGATGCAGGGGATATATCTTAATTTATAATCTTTTTATTAATTAAGAACACATACATTTCTAAAAGAGCACCTATGCATTTGAACTTTTCCCCTCATTGTAAAAATAATTCCCTTAGTAGTCTCTCACAAGAAGCCAATTGCAATAGAACTAGCACACTTGTCATTGGCACAGCGATAAATGAGTAAATCCTTCTCAAATTAGTTTCGCGATATTGACATGGTTTTAACACATGAATCATTGAGAGAGAAAGAGAGAGAGGAGCTTACCACACATTTCTGGAACCCCTTCTGAAGAGACTGTAACGCTTCCGAATCCTCGCGGGAAAGATGGAATGCTGAATCTGCAGACATTTCAATGATGGTTCTACTTTCCATGTTTGAAACAAAGTGATTCATATAAGTGTTCAAAGACAAATGAGTATACTCACTGAAATCCGATAGACCAGTCATATATATAAGAATTGCAGCGAGTCCGGAGGCTAAGACAACTGCCAATGCCAGCTTTAAGATCATCATCCTTCTCTGTGGTCTGTGTATGAAACCAGAGAAATTTAACAATACTCAAAGAAATAAATCCTAGGCGCCAAATTACCAAAAACGATGGGGG